TTCTTAAGCTACTTCCTCGAAAAGCCATTCTATTCCTTACTTACATTTATAACGCCGTACTCCGTTCCACATATTTTCCTGACCCTTGGAAACTATCTGTAGTCAAAATGATACATAAACCCAAAAAGCCACCAGAATACTCATCCTCTTACCGTCCTATCTCTCTTTTACCCATCATGGGCAAAATCCTGGAGAGGCTCATCTTAAAACGCCTGTATCCCATCCTAGATTCTAACCACATAATCCCTGATCACCAATTTGGATTCCGCACATCCCATTCCACTATCCAGCAATGTCATCGTGTGGTAGACGTAGTCTCCTCTGCATTGGAGCGCGGAATGTATTGCACTGGAGTTTTTCTCGACGTTGAACAGGCGTTTGATCGAGTCTGGCATCCGGGATTGCTTTACAAACTCCGTAAATTCCTCCCCCTACATATTTTCTTATCATCAGTTCCTATCTTACTGATAGGCACTTCAAAGTAAATCACAATAATACCTATTCATCCTCTTTTCTCAATCTGCCGGAGTTCCTCAAGGTAGTATCCTTGGTCCTATCCTTTACACAGTTTATACAGCTGACATCCCAACCCATCCTAACACTGTTATTACCACGTATGCCGATGATACATGTGTCCTATCCGTTAATAATGACCCAACCATTGCATCCCAAACTCTTCAATCACACATCAAAAGCCTTGAAGAATGGTGTCAAAACTGGAGGATTAAAATAAATTCTAATAAATCCCATCAAATCACCTTTACCCTTCGACGTAAACCTATGACCTCATGTCTCACAGTATCCTTCAATAATACCCCACTTATCCCTGTTGAACAAATCCGATACCTTGGACTTCATTTGGACAAACGTCTAACTTGGAATCCTCATACCAGACTGAAACGACAAGAAACCGCTCGACGTTTCCGACTACTCCAACACTTACTAGACAAACGCTCTAAACTTCCCCTTAATTACAAAAGACTCATATACTTGACTATAATAAGACCTATTTGGACTTACGGAGTTGAGCTATGGGGCTCCACTAAACCATCGAATTCCTCTCGCATCCAATCCTTACAATCCAAAATCCTTCGTAAAATCCTCAATGCTCCTTACTTTGTCACTAATAAAATAATCCATAAAGACCTCAATGTTCCATATGTTTCCGATTTGGCCAAATCCAGATACCTATCCTTCCATAATAAACTTCATAACCATCCAAATCCTCTTGTTTCTAACCTTGCTTCCTCTTCGATTCCTGATAACCCTCCGAGGCGTCTGAAAAGAAAATGGCCTCGTGATCTTCTCATGTAGACAAATTATTAGAGTGCTACCAGTGGGTAGTTTCTCAACAAGCGTGTTTCATGTAATAATATTTCTCTGTACAAATTTACTTGATGTATTGATACTAATACAGTTGTAAATATCATAATAAAAGTTTAAAAAAAACAAAAAAAAAACATAATAATAATTGAAGCAGTTGATAGGTTTCTTTATTTTAATCGTCATTTTTAGTTAGAGCCGCTAATGACCCGCTCGGGTAGATGTGGAATGTAACAATAAATAAATAATTTTAGTTAGAAACATTAAGTTTGTCACTGATAATATATATATACTTTTACAAAAATATTTAATTCAAGCAGTTAACAATTATTCCACAGTAAACTAGATAAAATTTACTTTGAACAAAAATAGTTTGTCATTGTTGAAAAACTTCCTCATTTAATAAACTTTAAGTCCACATTAATTAAGTTGAGGCTGATTATGGACAATTTTGAGGTTCACAATTATTATCTTTCATTGTCCACAATTATTACAATTAATCTCTGATAGACTTTCAGCAGTTTTGCCAATACAATAACTTTAAATGTTTTTTACACCAGCATGAACGTTTCAAGTCTCCAGTTTGCTTGTTTTTTGTAAAAAAGAAAAAAAAATCGATGACATTATGAATTCCAGAAAAAGAAACTTCAACTTCTTTCAGATAATAATTTTATAACTGCCAAAAATACGATATTTTACCATTTTCTAAAATAAAAGTAACATTAAACAGAAAGTAGAAAGGATTTATGAAATATGGAATGTTAAATTAAATTTCTAAAAAAAATATCAATATATAATTCCAATATCAGAACAATTTTTAGATATACTTTACAGCTTTCTAGAGTTTATATAACGGCTCTTGATGTTATCAATAAAGAATAAAGACTGAAGGTGATAACAATATAGTGAAATTTAAACAATGAGACAGCAATATCCAGGGGATAAAATAACGTCAACACAACGAATTGTTCGCTTGGCTTGTTGTTAATTGAAAATATATATAAATATCCAGTTTTTAAAGTAAATAACATTATATAAAATTTAACATATAACACTTCAGTATTCATAAATTTTAAATGTTATTTCATAAATAATTCATTCAGAAACATATTGCTTTAGTTCAATAAACAATTAAAATATCTAGATGATTCTTTAAAAAAATAAACACATAATCCTTTTACTAATATTATTTCATGGAATATTCTTATGATTTATTTAATAAATACATTATTTAATCAGTTCCTCAGGCAATGATATAAAACTATTAGAATATACGTTTCTGATTTATTGGAGTTTTATGTTAAGCAGGTGTTGTTCCAAAGATCTAGAATAAGATTTACCACAATTTCTTTAATTATTTTTCACATACATTTTTTTTATTATGAATTTGCACTTCTAATTACAAAAAATTCATCAAAATACATTTATGTATAAAGATATTTCATTCAGTTAAAGTTGAACCAGTTTTCCAAGTGGTTATTTTTCTGTAATAGTAAAATAAAATAATTTGAAAATATTTAACAAATAAAATCTGCGTAGTCACAAATATGCTTGCTCAAGAAAAATAAATTCGAAAACCATAATTATTTAAATATTATTATAAACAAAATTTTGTTCTGAGTAAATAATGCACAACTCTATTGAGACAGTAATAATTTAAAAAGGCCAAATAAAGGTGTATATAAATAACAGTAATTTATTTTGGTTCTTTATTTACAATTAACAATCGATAATATAATTTTACATGGAAATAATTCATTGCTTACTTTTCTTTATAATTAATTTTAGCATAAGTAGGGGAAAAAGTAAAACCATAATGATGAAATCGGTGGAGAAGGTAGTCAGTTTAGAGGATAGGAGTAGAAGAGAAGATTGGTTTGACAATGAATGTTTAGAAGCATTAAAGTAAAGAAACGACCACCGATTAGCCATGATGCAGCGTTCTACTAGACAAAGTGTGACTGAATATCAGGCAAGCCGTAGAAAATCTAAAAAACTTATGCGTACAAAGAAAAGATTGTTCATGAAAAAGAAAATTGAAGAATTGTATACCAATAACGAAACGAGGAAATTTTATGCAGCTATAAGACACATAAGCTGTGGCTTTTAACCAAAAGTGGAAACTTGCAAAGACAAGAATGGCAATATAATTGAAGAGAATAGCCTAGTCATAGACAGATGGGCCTTACATTTTGGTGAGTTATTGGATAAGAGTAAAGATGAAGAAAGCAATGCTGGGGAACTGATCCTGAACGCCACTGATATTGATCCACCTGATATAGAAGATGGAACCAAAGTGATACAAAAGCTAAAAAATAATAAAGCATCAGGCGAAGATTTACTAATAGCCGAATTCTTTAAAAGTAGTAGCGGGAATATGCTCAAACATCTATATAATTTGGTCTTGGACATATAGATGAATGAAAGCATGCCTCAAGAGTGGGAAACTAGTTTGATTTGTCCCATCTGTAAAAAAGGAGATAAACTGCAATGCAGAATTGCATTGCTTCAGTAAATTCAAGAAATGTCCATAACCTTGTGGTGGAAGGACACGTTTTCGAAAACGTCAATACCTATCTAGGGATAGAAGTAAATAATGAAAACAAAATTATGACTGAGGTGCAGAGAACGATAATGGCCTCTAACCGTGAGTATTTCGAGAATTTAAAGCTTTTTAAATTATCCTTGCTATCAAGAAAACTAAAATAAGGCTATATACTACCCTAATAAGACCCATACTTATTACGCGGCTGAAACATGAACGATTACTGGCACCATGACAAATTCTTTAACGGTCTTTGAGAAAAAGATCCTGAGAAAAATATTTGGGCCCTTGTACGATGAAATACCCCAAGCATGGAGGATTAGAACCAATATGGAACTATATGATTTATTCAATCATTGTGAAATTGTGAACTTTATAAAATCACGGCAGATTGAATGGTTGGGGCACGTTCTTAGAATGCTAGATGAGAGGATCCCAAAAAAGATGCTCAAAGAAAGAATTTATGGTGTCAGAGGAAGGGAAAGGCCGAGAAGAAGGTGGTTGGAGGATGTGGAGGACGACCTCAGGCAGTTAAGAGTTACAAATTGGAGGGAAAAGGCTAAGGACAGGGACATCTGGAGAGCAGTTGTTCAGGAAGACAAGGCCCATCCCGGGCTGTAGAGCTATCGAAGAAGAAGGGGAAAAAGTAAATGCTACATATACTAATGGCTTACAATAAAATTGCCCAAAGATTTGTTCAATCCAATTTTTAAATTAATTAACATTATACATAATAAATTTATATATTTAATATATAATCCCTCTGAGGCGTCTGAAAAGAAGATGGCCTCGAGATCTCCTTTTGTAAATACATTTTAGAGTGCTACCAGTGGGTAGTTTCTCAAAAAGTGATTTCATGTTATTATATTCTTTTGTTCACATTTACTGAATGTATTTTTACTAGTAATGCAGTTGTAAATATCATCAATAAAAAAAAAATATATATATATATAATACTTCAGTATTCATGAATTTTAAGTAAAATTCAAATACATATTAAATACATTATTCAATGAGTGCCCAGGTCTACGATATAAAACTAAATATACAATATACAATATAAAGAACTTTAGAATATACAAAAAATAATGAAACATTATATTACTATATATCTATATAAAGATGCACAAATCTATCTCCTCCAGGTAGTGGTATACATTTTTCTATTCAATTCTGCTAAAATTATCGAACATTGCTTCATTTTATCATTCGTTAACGTAATGGCTATTTCTTCATCTTCCTCCTTCATAGACTTCATGATTTTTTTCTTTCTTTTTTTCTTAAATGTTTGAAGCTGTGGGCGACAATGATCTTCTCTATGATCTATTGAGTTCCTTTCATGTCTTTTCTGAGAAAATAATATAAGTGTTAAATTAACTAAAATTAAAATAATGTTAAAAATATTACACAAATATGTCAAAAGAACAAATAATACTAAAATTAATCAGAAATGAAGTATAAATCAGCTCAAAAAGAAGTTTGTTTATCAAGTTCTTAAAATCTTTAAGATGATTAGAAACTATTAATCAAGGCACAAAATATTTGATGGTAATAATGACTCACTGAACAAACTAAAGGAAGAAAAAAATAAGGGAAAGCTAAAGGCTAAGGTAATATTATAGCAAGAATACGAAGGTGAAAAAGGAGACAACAGACATCTCCATTATATCAGGACAATGTACCATTCTGTACATCAGAGATAAACATTTTGTACTTAAAAATTATCAAGTACAATTTTGCTGATATTGATTTTACTATGGAATTTGTATTATTCTTACTATATTTTCTGAAGGGTTCAGTATTGTAAATTAATTAAAGAGGTAATTATATGTGCAATACTTCAAACATTAACATTGACAAATATCCAAAACTAGCAAAATGCTTCAATCTGAAACTTTTTTCGGCTCTCAGTTTTACTCAAGATAGTTTACTTCTAATATACTGAATTGGGGCAACCTATTTGTCAAGACAGTTTCCATGAAACATAATAAATAAGGTAAAACAATGCCAAATTTTATAGCTTGACTTAACATTTGGTCATAAATGGAAAGTTCATACATGATCTCCGTGCATCACCTATCTCTCAGAATCAGCTAAAGAAGACATTTTTCACCATAGATGCCTGGAAATCTCCCAAATTTTCCGTCGCACTATCTCCAACCTAAAACAGTTCAATCGTCTATGTTATCTCCTTCCATATAAGTCTCGTCAACTCCTAGTTTCCTCTCTTATTTCCCCCCACTTCAACTACGGCTGTATGGTGTATGGTGGACTCTTGGGAGTTTTCGAGGCCAAACTTAAACGCCTAATGAATTGCGAATTACGTTTTTTTTTTTTCAGAATCTCATGAGATATGCATATTACCCAGTTGAAGCGGCTCTATCCATCCTATCATCGTAAGTATTTCGTAGCTACCTTTCTGTACCAGATCATTAGAACTCATTAACCCTCCTATATTTTTCACAGTTTACAATTTAAATACTCCATCCAATCCCATCCCACTAGATCTCTTACTTCCAGCCTTTATCCTCCCCCTCACCGACCAGCTTTCAAACCTCACACATTCAAGCGTTTTTTTCATACATTTTTACATAGGTTATATTTATGATATTGTAGTATTCAGTAGGGTTTGTAGAGTAATTATGGAAACTTTCATAATATAACAGAATAATACCACATAATGATAGTAATAGAGGATAGAAAGGGAGAGAGACTAGTAAAACAAGGAAAGATGTTAAAAATACATGATTAAGTTCATTTGGATTTTGTTAGTAGTGCGAATTGTTTTCAAATATCTCCAGTTCTCTTTGCCTTATCTGACAATAATGATACTTAACGGAAAACCCGACAGACAAACATAAGTTCATTGCTGATAAATCGTTTAATTATATGTAAAAAAAAAATATATGATATTATGTACTTTATAAACAAATAATCTATCTACTTATCAGAAAAGTCAAAGTCCACTCAATGAAACTGATGCGTTTGGTTTCATCGGCATTAGTTCTATTTGTGCTAAAGCTTAGTGAATATGTCATATGATAAAGTACATTTTCGGCAAATTACAAAAAAGGTATGTGAGCATCGGAGGTTATTTAAGGCATACCACTATGATGCCTTAACAGAACATTATGTTCAAAAATGGATTTTCATGTTTTGTTCAGAAGATTCAAGTCTCGAAGACACCCTGCAGCGATCAGACCAATGAGGTTGATTTGAGTGATATCAGGGCTCTAATTGAATAAGACAAGATCATTTCAAGTATGAGAAATTGTGGGGACAATGAAAATAGGTTTTAGAACCATTCAAAGGTATTTAAAACAGCTTGGCTACGTGTCCCGCCTCATTGTTTGGGTGCCACACAAACTGACTGAGGTAAACCTGGCCCAAGCAAATCTCTTCTGAACTGGCACAAAAGGGACCCATTTCTCAAATGAATAATGGCGAGTGAGAAAAAATGGATCATCTATGACAATGTAGTGTGCAGGAGATAGTGGACACTGCTGAAGAGCCACCTAATGCCACCCCAAAGGTTGGTGTACATCTGAAAAAGAATTTACTCTCCATATGGTGGGATTATTATGGCATGCTGTTTTACGAGTTGCTTCCACAAGAAATAATGATTGATTTCAAGATTTAATACAAGCAGCTAACACAATTGGAGCAAGCATAGATAACTACAGAAATGTCCAGAACTAATAAAATCGCAAAGGTGTTGTATTCCACAATGAAAACACCAGACCACACTCTGCAATAATCACACGGCAAAAGTTAGTACAACTTGGCTGGAATATTTTATTACACCCACCATATTCTCCGGACCTTGCACCATCTGACTATCACATATTCTAGTCCCTCCAAAACTCCATCAACGAAAAATCATTCACTGAAGAGAGAGATGAGAAAACATATTCTGATGAATTTTTCACATTTAAATTTTACAAGAGGTGAATAATGGAATTGTTAAAAAGATGGCAAGAGATCATTAATAAAAATGGCAAATACATTATTGAATAAAATTTATTCTTTGTATGAAAAAAAAAAAATTGTTTTATTTCACCCTTCAAAAACCGAACAATGTTATGGATCCACCCAATATGTGATAAGTGAACCTTGGGGTCCTTTATGTCAACCTCTGAGAGGCTACCTAGAGATTGGACACTAATCAGAAACAGCTCGGAGCGGGAATGAAATGACTCTTTTTTCATGGCTGCCCAGAAATAAATATTGACTGATTCAGGTAGGAATCTGAACCAGACACTCTTGGAACTTCACCCCAACAAGCCCAGCCATTACTTGCCTGCATTCAACAGATCATACATAGTTCTGATCAGGAAAATGCTGTAGAAGGCCAAGCTTGAAGTTCCTATTTGGTAAAAATGTTGCAGAATCACTCATGGCAACATCTCGGCAACTATTTCAAATATTCTTTTAGGGTTCACATTTTAGAGAATTATCTCTTCAATATAAAAAGTAAATGTAATGTTTTTGCATGACAATAAATTGTACAAAATAAAAAAAACTGGCAGCTAAAAGAGAAATGGACAAAAATTAGAGGTTTTTTCTAATGAAATGACCTTCTGGTGACATGACAAGATCAAAACTGTTAATTTTTATTGTCACTCCAAACTTAAACATACTATTAAGTCCATTAAACTCAGATTTATTCTATCTTATTGTATTACCATCAAAATCTAACCAATAAATCATTTAACATGGAATTCATTTTTCAACAATAAATGACCATTAAGATTAATAAACATTTGTAAAATGATTATAAAAAAGGTCTAATAATAATAATATTTGATGGAATTGAGTTATTTGAAATAAAATGTAATCAATAAAATAGAATATGAGAAAACTTCATTCTGATTTTAAAACACATTTCAAATAAACAGAGTCAAAATATTCGATGCCGAGGGACATTTTCCAAAATGGTTCCACCACGCCCATTTCTGAAGCCAGAATATCTTCAAAGAACATGAAAATACTACGAGTTTGATCGCAAAAAAAAATGTAAGAATTATTAATATAACAGAAGATTAACCAAAAATAAATTATATACTTCACCGTAATTATAGATTAATTTTTATCTTTATCGTCTTATATTAATAAAGAAGATGGTGACTTATCAGCAGAAAACATCAAGTCCTATAGAAAAAACAAACAAGAAAACAAACTTACTTTGGATACTTTTTTTTCAAATTCTGAAGAATCATAGTAATTAGGCTTTTCTCTTTTAACTCTTTCTGTTCTTCTTCTGCTAGCAAGTGCAAATGCGTCAGTGTAGTGTAAAGCTTGGGCTAAAGACAACCGTTTAGTATTGTGAAATGAATGCTTACAGCCTGGGCAGCTTTTGCAGGCAACAGCTACCTAAAGAAAAATAATAAGATGACATAGTAAAAATTGAAAAAGAACTAAAATTACTAAAAATAATATATTAATCCTTGTTCACCTCTCGCACAATATTAAAACCTCTTGACCTACACTGGAGTGGTAATAATCATTCATTGTATTTCACCTTTATTCCTAATATATAAAATAACTGTTGAGAAATTAAGATAAAATAAACCTTTTAAGACCATCTAAATTTTCACGAAATACCTATTTCATTTAAATAGAAAAATATTTCTAGCATACTTTAATTTTTACCAACATTTTCAATAGTTAAATTTAAGAAGTTTGCTTGATGATCAATACTTAAAAAATGCAGCAAATGAATTTCTGTGGGTATTTTTTTTTTTCTTGATATTTTTACTGAGTTTAAGCATAATTTTCACAACTTCTAATAACATGGCGAGTTGCAGAATGAAGATTCTTACTAAAAATAATGTAATTGAAGCGTGGAAATTCAAAAGGGTCTAATTGCATTCAGCAAATGGAAACAACTTTTTTTTCAGATCACAGGTAAATGCTGGAGTACAGAGCAATATGCTATTAGGAATATTTTATTACACATAAAATCACAGATAATCAGAGGAAATGTTTCTTTAAAATAAAGTCAGATTCCAGTAATATTATTCAAACTGAAACTGGAATTCTTAAAAATTTGCTGAAGGGATTTAGACCTTTCGAAATTTAAAACCTTCAATTATCATTTTATAAATTAAATTTTGGTACTACTTTAAAAGTATTAATCCACTTTGATGGGTGGATATAACTTGAAAATGGCCCAGAATTGACATATTCACAAGTATAATCTTGTTTTATTTTCATCATGGTTTATAACTTTCAAAAACTCCTAAATGATCCTTTTCAGTTAAAATCGGGGTCTTAATAAGCTTAAATTACATTGTCCCTTTCCGAACCACCTATGAGTCCTTTTCAGTAGAGATTGGGGCCTTACCATATGGTATAATTTTAAAACATGTTCGGCCATTCTTTTTTTTTTTTTTTTCAGCTCAAAATAAGAATTCTATTACAGTGTGATCATGAAATCTTGTTCCCATCCATGTCAATGAAATAGCACTAGTAAAATAGTACAGGATGGACTTAATAATCCGAATGCATGGCCTATTCCGATTATTAAAGGTTAAATTCAATATGTATAATCAGTAAAATATAAATACATTACAAATAAAAAAATTATTTCTGAAAATAATCAGGCATATAATGCACGTCTCTTGATTTTGTTGCTAAACCAAATGCTTGATCTCGGAAATTCCTTAAAAGTACTGAGCATTAGTAGTCGAGAAATCCATTCACACAATCCAAGCAAGTGTTAAATGACTTTACGGTGTTTCTATGAATTATCTATAATGAAAAATAAAGTGGGTATAAAGAGAAATAAAAATTAAAATACTACTTTTTAATTATCAACCCAACATTTACTGGCATTAAAATCAGCTTGGTCATTCTTAAAAAAAATTTGCCTTTTCAGCTAATATATTCCCGGAAAGGGATACTCTCGTGATATCGGCACCGCGAAAACCATATATAAAGAGATTCCTCACTTCTGAATGACAGTCTAATTTTAATGTTTTCCTTTTAGAGACACCACTGTATGATTTCGACACTACCGTTACAAAGCAATTCTAATAATATGTACTGAGAAACAGAGCAGAGCAATTTCTATTCATTTAACTTTAAATTTGTTTTTTCTTGTTCAGATTATCGAGACTGTCATGTACTTCAATTTCTTTTTTTTTTTCACTAAATTTCCTTAATTACTTACAATGTAAATATGTTCAGATTGGATGTATTGCACATCTAATGGCACATACTATGATATAAGCTCTACAAATAAATATTAATTTGTTATAATCAGAAAGGTTCTAAATTAATTTAATAAATCAGAAATATATCAATTTAGGGTACTAGTTCACAAGAGTTCCGCACGGATTAAGCGTGGTTCACAATCACTTCGATCACACTTGTTCATGAAATCCCGAAAACAGCCGAATGTTGTCCTCTTTTATGATGTCAGCAATTGCTCCATCAAACAATCCTATTACATGCATTTTTGAAAAAAAAAAGTATTCCCTTCATGGAACTTCCTTATTAACGGATTGTGTATTTACTAATTAGTTAGTTATTAATTTTTACTATAACGGTTATTACTGGGAAAGAAAAAAATTTATAAAATAATGTTTGAGTCATTCCTTCATGGCCTGTTAAAAAAAATGGTTTTAGAAATAAAATTTTTATTGACACATGCTTACATGTAGTGGCTGTAAATACGCATATACTGTTGTATATTATTTTTTATAACTGTGTATAAAAGATTTTTTTATCATTTGGATAATAAATAATCTGAAATTATGTATTATCTTTTTATTTGTTATTCTAGTTTTTCAATAGAAGTTGGAATAATTGAATTTATAATTTATTTTAGCAAGCCTTTTTTAGAATTGCGCAATTGTATATCTAGTTTATGTCACTTTTTGTTTTTTTAATAATACAAGGGTCCACTATTTTTTAGTGGGGGGCACTTTGTATGCATATACTGTCTGATTTGGGATTGAGCCTCAAGTTTATGTAACTTTTTTGAATTCTTAGATATACGGATCCACTATTTTCTAGTCGTCGGTGCTTTTTATGAATATACGGTCAGATTTAAAATTGTTCGTTGATTTTTGGATTTCTTAGATATTAGAGTCCACTATTAAGTTGTCAAGGACACTTTTTATAAAAATAATGTCAGATTAAAGATTTCGTGAGAAAAGTATACAATATCAATAAATAAAATGTATCTATCAATCATTATATAGATAAATATTTATTCCAAAAATGTCCAATCTCAACGAGACTCGTAGATCTGCCAGTTAGTTAACTGTTAACTTAAAATTTATTTTTTTTCGTTTAATCGCTATTATTTTTATTGAATGAAATAGCTGTGTAATTATTGTTATTCACAGCTATTTTCTTGGTAATCCGAAAATGGGGATTATTGAAGGTATTCATAAAAAAAAAAAAAAAAATCGCGTTTATTCTCGAGAAAGGAATTAATGTATTGGGGAAACAACTGACAGAGAATATCTCATAATTCCGAAATAATGAATAATGGAAATCATTAATAATAAAAATAATATCGTGAAATAGCATTCAGAGATGTAATAATTAAAGGTTTTTATCTATTACTATTTCTTTTTCACAGATCTATAATATATGTACAAGTTCGATTCAGGTTTCAAGATGTGTAGCCTAAATTTCGAATGTAAGTCGGCTCCTGCTATATGACTGGACATGATTAAGATTAGAGAAGTACTTAAATGGCAGGAAAGTTAATAGTAACCGACTCAAGAGATCTGTCGCCTCCATTCTCTTTCGGATAAATCCGAACGCATTCGGCACTCCATGAACAAGTGTGACCGAAGTGATTGTGAACCATGCGTAATCTGTGCGGAACTCTTATGAACTAGTACCTAATTTATTATTTAACCACTAATACATACAAACAAGCTATAAACAATCCAATCTAGTTCCAAACCTAAGCATCATATTCCAAAACTATATATGCCTTTTGAAAGCTACTAACACTACACAGATATAAGTATAAAAGGTTAATGCAGAATAATTAAATTCCATAAATATTTCAATGAATACTTAAAATTCAAATAAGCCACCTTCGATTTGTCCAACTGTCCAAATCATACCATGTTATACATTATTAGGTGTTAAGAAACAAACAAATAAACATCCAAATGAATTTCAATAACATTTAATTTTTTTTTTCTTTAATGATCGACATGAATTGAATGATATCAACTAAATAACAAACTATGAAATCATTTCAATCCTTTTATATATGAAAAAAAAATATACGAAGCAACATAATTTATCAATTCAACAGTACTATTATATCTGGTAATACAATGAACATTGTAAAGTATACATAATTAAGATTAGATTGTAATAATAAGTTGAAAAATAAGGTATCCATTGTTTATTGTTGCGGGAACAATTGAAAAACAAAATAAGAAGTCTCAACAAAACTTGGTTAATTGATAGAACAATACCTGTATTTCACACAAAGGGCACAATTTGGTTATAGTTTTGCTGTTTTTCCCCATTAAACAAAACGACGGCATGTAATTGATCATATAATTGCCTTTCAAACAGCAAAACACAATCCGATCCAAATAGCTTTGTGAAAGTCAATGTTAAAATTTTCTATTAAAAACATAAACAGAAACTACAACAAAGTTCACAGACACTAAATACTACACTTCAAAGGGAGTGGGGAGATTTGACAAATATGGTTGCATGTTGATAGGGATGTCTCGATATTAAAGATATCGATATTTTCCAATGTATGTTTCGAAATAACGTATCCAACTACGAGATCGATTTTATCTTAATATCGAAAGAAAATTGCTGATAACAAATTTCGATGTCGGACGTTATCTTTTTTATTATTAGATATTTAAATAAATACTTATAATTAAATACATCTACTTAAAAGCACTGAATTAAGTAGGAGAATTTAAATACTTATATTTTGTAATTAACATTTAACAAATACTTGTATTTAGAAGTAAACTACTACTTAAAACAGTATAGCAAACCACACGATCTGATATCAATGATACATATTTTATCATTCTTAATTTAATGAAAACGTGACTTGGTATTTACTCATGTAAGGAGCACGGGTTATGCGTGGTTCATAATCACTTCGGTCACACGTGTGCCGAATGCATCCAGGTTTATCCGAAAGACTGTTTTCGTCGTTTCATGAACAAGTGTGACTGAAGTGATTATGAATCATTCATAACCCGTCCTCATCTAAATAATTAACCAAAAATCTATGTTGAGAAACTTCATCCTTGCCAGGCCCGACGAAAAACTGGTACCGAAGTTTCAAAGGGGGCCCAGTCTGGGATACCAGGTTTTATTTTTACCTTCTACATTTTTTAAAACAAAATATTGCATATATTATATAATAATTAGGTAATTTCTTAACGAAATATTTTTTGTACTTACATTATATAGGGAAAGTTTAGATTTCAGTGGTGAATTTAATATTTGACAAGTGCCCGAAGAAATTTGTTCTTGAGCCCTTGATTTTTCTCTGCGGCCCTAATACTTGATATACAAAGACAAATCTTCTGTTGCCTTCTTATTAATTAGGTACTAATATAAATTGTGTACTAGATATAATTATTTATTATTTTGTTTTTAAACAGTATCGTTCAGAAAAATATAGTAATTTTTGTGTTATTTATCTAAAATCCGTAACTTTGAAAATATTAACTCTATTGTCACGGTAGCGGGTACAATTAATACAAAAACAAAACAACTACTATAAGCGATTCCGTAAGCCTTATTTTGTGTAAATATGACCCATACTCCATTTAAACCTCCTCCATACGTACGTTATTCTCCTGAAATTTTGTGCGGGCTTTGCGTGTTTCGATTCCTACAAAAAGACGAAGTTACAACTAATTTTTCATGATTGTAATAATTTGATCGTTTATTTGACAGTAGTAATTCAAATACGTTTATTTGAATTACTACCATATTCAATGATGGTTTATTTCCCCTTGTAAATGTACTTGTAAATAATTCTTCGAATTCCCTCAAATTGTGAGGTCCGGGCTTGAGGTTATAAACTTGACTATCTTTATGAGATTCTCCAGACCACCGTAGGGCTTCATCGCCAAGTCAGTGGGGTTTGGCCAAATTAACTTTATGATGTCCTCCACCTCAGGACATATCTGAATGATTATAGTATTACTTTGTATTATAGTAGCCTGTTATACAGCTACAGAGAGGGTTTTCTCCAATTTTAAATTTTTCATAGAGGTGTGCCCTCATCCTGTTGTTACCTGCTCCGAATCTAAAGAGTAAAACATATGTGAACATGTGTAAAATAATGTTCACGTTTTTCAGATCTGTTATTCGCTGTAATGTTATCTGACAGATAATTATAAATCACCCACATTGTTTATTTGTAAAAATATGTGAACTAGCATATCTGAATTTATATATGATTTCACAAATCTAACAGTGCCTTTTCTTTAATGTAGTATTAGATCTAGACGATCTTGCACTAGCGGATCCAGGATTTAATTTTGGGGGGAATTCAGCCCGAAAGATTTTTTTTTTCATGTAAGTATAAAAATGATTAATTGAAAAAAAAAAAAGAAAGAAATTAACTACCTACACGAAATGATGTTTAAGTGGTTCTTGAAGTCCTATTAAATGTAATTAAACGAACAAGAATACTTTAAGAGATAGTTTTTAGTATTTTTTTTCTGTAAAATATGGTTATATTTTACCATTTTGGGGGGGGGGGCTTCAGCCCGAAAGCACTCCCCGTAGATCCGCCTGTGCGATCTTGTAATCTAATTTATTTCCCAATTCCCAAACCACCTCCACCTTCATTTATCAGGGGGCCAGTTAATTGGAACCTCTTCCGTCAAATACTGGATGATAATATTGACCTCAGAGTTTCCTTAAAAACACCTGCAGACCTAGATGAAGCAGTATATTCAATGACTACCTTGATAAAACAAGCAGTTTGGACTGCATCTTCACCTGATCCTTCTAAAAAATACCGCAAAATAAATCCTCTACTCCAAGACCTACTGGACCTTATTAATAGGAAACGATGCTCTAGGACCATCTGGCAAAGAACCAGGCATCCTGATGATCGGAAATCATATAACTATTATTCCAAGCAGGTAAAACAAAAACTGGCTACGTTTAGATCCCAATCCTATAATTCCTATCTTTCCTCACTATCTGCAAGTGATAACTCCCTCTGGAATGTAACAAAAAAAATCCTTAAATTCCAATCCTTTTCCCACCCCCTCCGCCGTGATGATGGTTCCTGGGCTTCGTCAGATGAGAATAGAGCAGAAGAGTTTGCTAAACATCTATCGTACACATTCACTCCTCATCCTGAACTCCATCCCTCCCATACTGCTGAAGTTAAAGAATTCCTCTCTTCATCGATTCCTCTCTCCTTACCTCCTACAGCCGTCAACCCCTCTGAGGTCAAATTCCTTTTAAAGAACCTAAAACCTCGCAAATCTCCAGGACACGATCTCCTTACTTCCCAGATCCTCAGACAACTTCCCAAAAAAGCAATTATATTCCTTACATATCTATTCAACTGTATCCTCCGCACAACCCACTTTCCCCTGGTGTGGAAACACTCCATAATTATCCTCTTTCCTAAACCAAGTAAACCTGTTAATTATACATCATCCTATAGACCGATAAGCTTACTTCCGATCCTTTCCAAAATCTTTGAGAAAATCCTTCTCAAACGCATCCTACCCATACTCGAATCCCACAATATCCCTTCCCATCAGTTTGGATTCCGCTCAAGACACTTCACTGTCCAACAAGGCCTTCGCGTTGTGGACCACATATCCTCTGCACTTGAAAACAAGCAATATTGCACTGGTGCCTTTCTGGACGTAGCTCAAGCTTTCGACCGGGTGTGGCACGATGGCTTGCTTTTCAAGCTCAAAACCCATTTACCTCAACCCTTGTACCTAGTCCTCAAATCTTACCTTTCAAATCGCTCCTTTCAAGTCCGTTGCGGCACTGAACTCTCCAAACATTATCCAATTGAGGCTGGTGTTCCACAAGGCAGTGTCTTGGGCCCAGTTCTCTATATCCTTTTCACTGCTGACATCCCTTCAAGTCCTGATACCTTCCTAGCAACATTTGCTGATGATACTGCCATCCTATCCTCCCACTCGGATCCTCTAATAGCGTCCCAGAACCTGCAAAGACACCTTTCCTTCATTGAGCAGTGGTGCAACAACTGGCGCATCAAAATTAATGAATCAAAATGCAAGTATGTAACTTTCACTCTTCGACGCAGATCCTGTCCGCCAATCCTTTTTAATTCAATTCCTCTTCCCTACTCAGACACAGTCCGATACCTTGGCTTCCTTCTGGACAAAAGACTGACTTGGAACCCACATACGAGACTTAAAAGACAAGAGCTTAACCGACGATTTGGTCAGCTATATAGACTACTAAACAGAAGATCTCATCTCTCAACAGAAAACAAATTATTAATCTACAAGACCATACTGAAACCTATCTGGACCTACGGACTTGAACTGTGGGGGACAACTAAATCATCGAATATCAAACGCATCCAATCCTTCCAGTCCAAAGTCCTTCGAACAATAGTCAATGCTCCATATTATGTCACGAACAAGACCCTACACCATGACCTTAACATCCCATATGTCCATGACATCATCCCATCCAGATTCTCCAACTTTCACCAGAACCTCATTCATCATCCCAATCCTCTAGCCCAATCCCTATCCAGCTCCGAGCATCCATACCATCCCCCTCGAAGGTTGAAACGGCAGTGGCCTCGAGATCTTTTGTAAATATGCCTTTGGAGTCCTGGCAATGGCCAGCTTCTCCACTCATGTCCTGAGCGTCTGTGGCTGTATTGCCCTCTTTCAGTCTCCACTGGCTTCTAATACTAGTGATGCGACTGGAAAAGTGGCACTGGGATCTTCCGGAGTCTTGCTTTGCCTTCCGCGTGTGGAGGTAAAAGCCTGGCTCGGAGATTCTTGGGCAAATGTATATATTGTATATAGTTATGATTGTGTTTGGAAGTTTTTATTTTATTTTATTTTATTTTATTTTTTATTTTTTTATTTATTTTTTATTTATTTACCTTCTTCATCAGTATTATTTATTTACTTCTTATATTTATATTTATTTCTTTATTATTTGTATATATTGTATGAATGAGAACTTTTAGCCCTAATGCTTATAGCCCTCCAGCAGTGGCTGATTGTATTATTATTCAATAAATAGATTTAAAAAAAAAAAAAAAAAAAAAAAATTATTTCCAATGCCAGACAATTGTCATTAAATTGTACATTGTAGTTATTCTAAGGGGACTTAGTCCCAGAATAAAATTTATTTTTCTTCTTTCTTAATAAATTAAATCATTCCAGGAATTTATTGTTTTTTTTTCATAAGTTATTTAACGAAGGCTAACATTTTTTCTTATTCATTAAATTTATGAGTATTTTTTTAAAAAACGTTTTTGTGGCTTTAAATCCATATTGTTTTAATATTCTCCGAATCGTATTCGGTTCAGTTC